TAGTTGTTCATTTACAGATTTCTCAAAAGATTAATCGCATTTACAAACAAATTTATGCAACTATCCGGGTCTTTATCTGTATTTTCCTCAATCAAACGTATGCACTCTTCAGGTAATGGGATGTTGTTTACAGGTATGTCCACTTATTCAAACTCGTGTCCAACTGGGCCATCATAATCAATCCCGTAAGTTTCTAATTCCAAATTTGCCTACAAAAAATAAAATAATAAATGGGAAATGTGTCCCATGGACACAGATGATGCCCCCGCTTCCATATGATATAAAGTTATAAAGGGACATAACTGAAGAACGGTAAAAGGGACGCTACCCAAATTTATACTTGATCTGAGTTTTGTGGTAAAAACATTGTGTATAAGTCTCATAACATTTGGTTGAGGCAAACTAAAGGTAGAGAACGGAAACGAAAAATTCAGCAATTTTTATGTTTATAAAGGGGTATAACTCAAGAATGGTAAAAGTGACGCCACCCAACTTTAAACTTGATCTGTATTATGTGGTAATAAGCATTGTATATAAGTTTCATAACATTTGGTTGTGGCAAACTCAAGTAAGAGAACGGTAACGAAAAAATCAGCTACTTTTTCATTTGTAGAGGGGCATAACTCTAGAACAGTTGAAGTGACACCACCAAAATTTAATGTTGATCTGTATTTTGTGGTAATAAGCATTGTGTATTAGTTTCATAACATTTGGTTGATGCAAACTAAATTTAGAGAACGGAGCGAAAAATTCAGCAATTTTTCCTTTTGTAAAGGGGCATATATAACTCTAGAACAATTAAAGTGAAGCCATCAAAATTCAAAGTTGATCTGTGTTTTGTAGTAGTAAGCATTTTGTATAAGTTTCATAACATTTGGTTGATGCTAACTTAAATTAGGGAACGGAAACAAAAAATTCAGTAATTTTTCCATTTGTAAAGGGCTATAACTCTAGAACGGTTAACGTTACTCCACCAAATGCAAACTAAATTTAGAGAACGGAGCGAAAAATTCAGCAAGTTTTCCTTTTGTAAAAGGGCATATATAACTCTAGAACAATTAAAGTGAATCCACCAAAATTCCAAGTTGTTCTGTGTTTTGTGGTAATAAGCATTGTTTTTTTTAGTTTCTTAACATTTGGTTGAGGCAAGCTAAAATTAGAGAACAGAAACCAACTTTGGGACATACGGACGTATAGAGGGACAAGGGTAAAACTTAATGCCCCCTCTGCTACGGCGGAGGCATAAACAGGACTGTATTGCAACATTCACAGGAGTCTGATATTTTATCAATCAAACATGAAAATCTTTGAAATGTCAAGGTCAAGGAAGTGTTCTTTTGACATTTCATCAATTATACATGTTTGATTCCAGAATACTTTAAAGTTATATGAAACTTCAAATTGAAAAAAAAATATGCATATGTTTTTTATAACTAAATGGCTAGTTTTTATTATAAAACTTATGTACATATACTTTTTTCTCAAGAACATTCTTTAATTTGTCCAAATTTAGAAGAAGTTTACTGTTTTTAATTGCTTACTTCCAGTTAACAATTCGCCGATATGTTTTCCGTATGCAGTGAACTCAGCGTGACCTTTCTCATAAAAATCCGGTGATCGCAATACGTATGGATCTGTCACTATTATGATCTTTTTGTACATGTTAAACATGTGCTAAATATCCATGCTTCTTTGGTGATTGTTTACTAAGGAGTCAATCGGTGAACTACGGCTTCGAAACACGACAATTAATTAGCTGCCATATTTTCACATCATAACAGACCTCGTCTAAGAAATTTTGTTTTTTGACGATTATACGATATGGATGCGTAAAAAATGATAAAATCGTGCACAGAAGACAAAGTTTATGATACATACATGCATTGGTTCAAGAATTGGATAAACAATATTTTTCACCAGTCACTCGTTTCATATAACTTTAAGAAAGTTATAGAAATTTCAAAAACTTTAACCACAGAGTGAATATTTGTGGACGCCAACAACGACGACGGAATGTTAGATCACTATGTCTTGCTTTCTCGACAAAGGTCGCAGGCTCGACAAAAAAAAAGAAGTTTATTCTCTTCTCTTGCTCTATATTAATTAAAAAACACAATTTAATGTACATGTATGTTTCAATATTTATTTATTTAGAATAATCAATATGTAGGTCTTTTTGCACTTAATTTGTTTTTCTAGGGAAGGGGGAGGCGTACTGTGCAAGCTCATTTTGGAGCGCAAAATGGTGGCAAACTGAGGAGTGGGTGGGAAAGTGTGGGATCCCAGGAGTAGGTGCCCTGAAACCGTAGTTGAGGTGGGAATCAAGGTCTGGAGAATAATTTTCCAACGACTGTTTAGCCAGACAAGCTGGGACCGTGGTCTTTTGGACGTCAGAGCAATTTGGGACTAACCCTGTGCAGGAACATATAGATTGTTTGATATACTGTTTCAAGCCCCTGTGTGACTTTTTTCTGCAACACATTTTGTAAATTATTATAGGACGAAAATTCAAGCATGTCCAGTGGCTGCACACTACTTCTTGACGAGTAAACAGCTAGTAAAGTTTAGTAAAAGTAGGCTTCTTCTTTTTCTTTGGGTCAACAAGGCTTCAATACTAAAGAATACATGTATATTAATATATAACTGTCAGCCCTTCGCCCTCAGTTAGAACCAAATAATCCGATAATTGCATTTAAGGACTAATAGAAACAGTTTATTACCTTGGTCGCCACGAATTGATGTGGTTTCCGTTCTAGAACACAGCGCCACCTGTCATCTGTAGAAAACAAGAAAACCGAGCGCCATCTGTCGTCATAATGATCGTTAGCATGATACAACGATGACATTTAACACGTAACGAATCGACATTTAACGAATCGACATGTTTCAAAATTACAAAACAACAATATACAAATTGACAATTTACGAATAAACAATTTTGAAATTACACAGTTACAATTTACGAATTAAGAATTTTGAAATTACAAAGATACAAGTTACAAAGACTAAAAATTGACAATTTACGAGTTAAGCATTATGAAATTACACAGTTACAAGTTACAAACTGACAATTTACCAATTAAGAATTTTGAAATTACAAAGATACAAGTTACAAATTGACAATTTACGAATTAAGGTTTATGAAATTTCACAGTAACAAGTTACAAATTAACAATTTTACGAATTAAGAATTTAGAAATTACACAGTTACAAGTTACGAATTGACAAGTTACGAATTAAGAATTTTGACCCCGTTGGCTTTCCATATTATTTAAGCGCAAATTTGACATCTTGTATTATGCAATCATACAAATAACTAAACTGATCTTTCACGATTTATTCAAAGAAACTAGCAAAAAAAGCATAAAAGACATCTAAAATGCAGTCTTTCACGATAGCTAATACATGCAGGTCAAGTCATAAGTATTAATAAATTTCCCAAAGGTACTGAACAAATACCAAGAGTCACAAAGGACAAACAAACATTGTTGAGGTTCAGTGGAACATATTTTCATGTGCATGTATATCATAGACCTAAGCACACACACAATCTAGGTAAATAATAATGTTGAATGTCGCAAAAAATGCACTCTTTAAAGGCAATTTAATTCTTATATATGGTGGCCAGTGCAACATGAAAACTAATTATCCAAATCTTTCTCTTGACGCACTTAATATTTAAAGTGTTATTAACATTTAATGTTTAATTTTCTTAATGTTAAAGGTTCTCAACTTTGAATATATTCATTTATTTTCACTGTCAAACAAAACAGAACTGAAATATTAATTGGACAAAAAAAAAACAATTAGGATTTTAAACAGTCGTGTTTGTTGCATACATATGATTTGTTTTTCAAAAATAAATCTTTTTTTTAAGAATTCATCACGGATGTCTTTTTAAACGTTTTTAATGGCGAATAAGTTATCATGTGAACTTTTATTTCAGTCATATAATTTAACCGAGAAATTTATCTGTACAATTAATCATAACAATATCTTATTTTAATTTATGTGTTTTTATGATGATTTTTTTTACAACCACTGGGTTGATGTCACTGCTGGTGAAGTTTTTCTCCCCTTGGGTATCACCAGCCCAGTAGTCAGCACTTCTGTGTTGACATGAATTACCAGTATATATTATGATCAAAATTTAAATTAACTGTTAACAAAACTTAGAATTTTTCGAAATACTAAGGAATTTCTACACCAGGAATAAATTACTTTAGCTGTAATTGGCAAAACTTTACGGAATTTTGGGTCCTCAATGATCTTCAACATCATACTTTGTTTGGCCTCTTTTATTTTTTTTTTAATTCGAACGTCACCAATGAGTCTGTTTTAGACGAAACGCGCGTCTGGCGTACACAATTTCAATTCTTATATCTATGATGAATTTCTTTTGTAGGCCGGTGTTAAATATCTGTTCTATCGTCTGTTTATTGGTCACCATAAACGATATCCTGTATCACTGTGCTACTAGTATCACTGTTTAAGTACTAAAGTACTAGACTAAAAGAAACAGCACTCTCAAGCACAGGGGAGACCAGTATCGACGGAGACTTGATTATGTCTCCTACTGCATTTATGCACGTTTTTATTTACTTTTTTCGTAAATGTGGTTTTGATTCTACAACGTTTCTGCAGTACGTAGTTTCAATCTTTTTGTATTTTAAGTCTTAATTCTGACCCACTTCTTTTCTGTAGTAATATGATTGATTGACTATTGTGCAATTCATAACATGATAGAAGTTATGCTGGTAGTATAATTTGAAGTCATATTACACAATTTTAGACATAAGATGATGTAATAAAAAAACAAAATATGACAGTGCTTTTATAATAAATTTAATATCATTATCATTTGCAATATAAATGTCATTTTCCTCGAAAGTTACATGTCATTTGGTTGACTGAGATACATAATGTATGTAAGATTTTCTGGGTCTGAGGTTAACAAAATACCACACATATTACACACAACTTTATGCTGGTCTGCTTTATGCTGACGGAATTTCCTGTTAACATTATTAGCCAATAAGCACTGCTCACAGACTATATAAACCAACAATATAGAGGGTGCCGATATCCAGAATTAATTCATTTATGCGTAAGTATACATTAATTCTACCTTCACCAAAAATATCTAAATAATTATATACTACTTGTATAAGTTAAATTTTTTTATCATTGTTGATGGCAGTACAGCTGCCTATTATTGCTTAGAGACACCAAGCCAATAATACTTAATATTATTTAAAACAAAGCAATAATAAAATCCAGAGGAAAATATATAGGGCCTTAACAATATCGTTCGTTTTATATAAAGTAAAAGATATGGTATGATCGCTAATGGCAACAAACCACCAGAATCCATATGACGTAAATTGGAGCAATTATAGATCACCGAACGGTTTTCTACAGAGAGCAAAACCCAAACCGTATACTAGTAACTGTAAAAGGTCCATAGCTAGAAAGGACATAGCAGTGAATAACTTGTGTCTTGCATTAATATTAAATTTGAGATAAGGCTACTCCTGTAATTATCTCTCTAGAAAGCTCAAAATCACAAAGTTTGTTTTCCCAAAATTCTAGAATTTAAAAATTATACCGCTTATAACGTTTTTAAAAAATGTTTCAACAATTTTATAGATACATATATATCCATTAAATCAACATTTGATACATACTCATGCTCCTAAAGACAATTTTAATATGCTACATTTCGCTTCGAAAAACATATTGCATTGAATGACATCGTAAACCATCACGATTTAATTTGAAAGACAATACAAAGCATTAATAATAGTTCCAATATAAATTTGGTATTGGTTAAGATTTTTTGATACATATTATAGATACATACTCAAAACTGGACAAATTCTAAAGAAACAGATTTTACCTATGCAGATTTTAATACCCAAACCACTGATAAGGTTTCTGACTTTGGATAGGCACATTAACATGGGGTTAAAATAGATTTATGTCCATTCTAGAATATTTATAAGGATATCGAATATAAATATCCTTTTCAACTGATTTTTATAGTTTTTATATATTGTACTGTTACACCACTGTCCTAGATTAGGGGAGGGTTGGCGTCTTCAAACATGTTTAACCCCGCCACATTATAATGTGCCTGTCCCAAATCAGCAGCCTGTAGTTCAGTAGTTGTCGTTGGTTTATGTCTGTCATATTTGTTTTTCGTAAATTGGTTTGTTATAAATTATGCAGTTAGTTTTCTAAATTGAATTGTTTCATGTTTTTCATGTCGGGGCCTTTTATAGCCGACTGTACGGTATGGTTTTTTCCTCATTGTTGAATGCCGTAAGATTGCCTTTAATTGCTAACATCCACTTCATTTGAACTTTCATGGATAGTAGTCTTATTGGCAATCATACCACATCTCATTATATTTATATTGTTGTATTTTATTCAACTACATATGATACATTATTGTTTACAACAGAGCAAGGAAATGCAATAATAATTTGTACTCTTTTTCCTCTTGATTTGAAGGAAAAATGACAAAGTTAGCCATAATTGCAGTAGTGTTGTGCCTAGTATCCACTTTTGGTAAGTAAGAATAACACATCTCGTAATAAACATGATATAAACGTACATTAGAATTCAGTTCCTTCATTGATATTTCTGTTTAAGTTGAAGATAAATTTATTTTTGTATATATTCAGCAAACAGTGTCATTTGAAACAAAGTATTTGAATACATATTAACAAGGGTGTAAAATTTACAGTTTGACAGCTTCATATCAGTGGTTAAAGATTATAACAACATTAAATGATCGTTTAATTGATGTAAAAATGTAACAACGGAAAAACAACCTGTTCTTGAGTATTTAGGGAACGCCCCTTTTGGGGGTTAGAAAGAGGATTTTTGCGGATTGAAAATGAAAATAACACTTTACAAATGTCTTGCATCCGAAACGTTTTTCAGGATTAACCTTCTTCAGGAACGCTCAATGTAAACGTATTTACACTTTTGGTATTTAGCTTTATTTTGCCTCCGAATGACCTTAAATTTACTCCGAATTACCTTTTGACATCAAGCAACAATCACTGTTTAACTATGACGTCAAATGTTTTGAATTATGATTTCAAAGTTTACGGGAACCTGTGTGATTTTACGTAATGGCGGACAAATTTGCATACAAGTTTAAATACGTCTATTTAAAAGCCAGAGATAACCGCTGTTAATACTAGAATACTCAAGAGCAATGGAGATAACCGCTGTTAATACTAGTATACTCAGGAACAATGGAGATAATCGCTGTTAATACTAGTATACTCAGGAACAATGGAGATAACCGCTGTTAATACTAGTATACTCAGGAACAATGGAGCTAAGTAAAAAAAAGGAACGTAAAAAGTATAGGCAAATACATATAAGGTCATCTCTGCTTGAGAGTTGCAACTGAAAACCTAAGTTAATATTAGGATCTCATGTTGCTAGTACGGCTTAGTAGTGCTTAATGTTACGTTTCTGTTTTGTTGACTGCTATTTGACCTCCCAAATTTTCATTTAGACGGAATAGAAAGGGGTAATGTTTTTCTGTGATTTTTGGATTGTAATTGTCCTTTTGTATGTTCTTAATTTCATATTATAATTTTACCAAGTTTTTGTAACGTGTCCATGATCATGAAATTTGTCTTACATTTCTATTATTACGACATTAAAAATACTTTCCGAGCTCTTTTTTGTGTAAGTATCGCAACCACGTGGTCACTGAATTTTAGGTGACTTTAAAACAACGTTTCTATTGATAATTTAGAAAAAAGATCGGTTAGTAACAAAAAGCTGTAAAACGTGTTATGGTTATCCTTTCGGTGCATATGTGTTTCTTAGATAATTTGTAACTATTGCCCTGTAATGTTTGATTCCCCTTGCATTTTGAATAATTACAATGTAGTTTCAAGTACCAACAGTAAAAAAAAACAACCTCACATTTCGTACGTCCATATATTATCGGTGTCATTGCATTTATCCAAGCTTGTGGTCGATTTAATTGAAATAAATATTAAAGTTCAGATTTATAAAGTAGTACTTATAAGATTTTGGATTAATTTCCTCTGTATTTTCTAAAATGTCAAATTCATCGGCTCAAAGATAAGTTGCCAAAAATATCTTTTATATATCATTGTGTTGCAGTTGGTCAAACTGATGCAATTTGTGGTGGCATTTGCCCTTGGTTTCCCAAAAGGTGTCACCTGTGCTGTATTAGCCGTGGATATAGCGCTGGAGCATGTGGACCACATGTGTTTGGGTGCTTTTGTATTAGATATTCAGGATAAAAGGTGAGGTAACGTCTTAAAGCACACATAAACAGTAGAGATATTTTGATTGGTTGTATACGATGAATAATATGACCAAAAAAAGATATATCAAATAATTGTTGTAAAATTAGAACGTTTTAATAGTTGACGAGGTGCGGAAGTGGGGAAGGGGGGTTGGGGGGTTAATAACATACCTTAAGGTCCGATTAATGTTGTTTTGTGTTTTGATACATGTATGAGAAAATAATATTTTGGCTGTACATTAATGAGACATCAATCAAACGATGCAAAAATTAAGTGACAATTAGAGGCCAGCATACCGCCCTGGACACTAAACTCTAAAAATAGTTCAAGACATACATGTAACACCTTTAGCTTCGAAAAGTTTTAAATAATAATTAAATGGACTACCACAGATCTGCCATCAACACAAATTCCGTAAAAAAGTATGAATTGATTATTAATAACTTTCTCTGGAATAATTAGGTAAGAATGTTTAAAAACAATGAATTTGTTTGTTTATGACGCATTTTAATCAAGAAACAATTCATTGCAGCTTTAATGTGTTTCAAATGTTATCAGGGATTTTCATCCCGACTTCAAGAGAGCAATTGTGTTATGAACATGATTGTTGTGCAGAATTGTAACAGCTACTAATGTCATTATTGATTAGTAAAACAAAGTCGGTTCTTTATTGTTTGCTTTGTTTGTTGTATTTAAAAAATTTTCTCTCTCTTGTTTCTTACATAGCTTGGTTTTAGACTTATTCATGAAAAAAAATTCTTCTTATAATCATTATGATTTACATTTTAATATTCGAACGTGTGTAAGGCACTGACCATATATCTTTGTGCGCTGCTCAAAAACACATTTTTTGTTAAATTTTCACAATTGTCGACCACATTTTTTTCAAAGATTTATATTGTTTTATTATAATTACTCATTTTCAGTACGGAAAAAATGGTATTGTTCTCTTCCCTCCTCATAGAAATTTGAATTTCAAGCATTTTAGAATCAAACATTTCAATAAAAGAAAAATTCGTCTCCTCCAGTGAGATTAGTGGGAAAAGTTTGACACTTAATTTAAGATTTCGTTGACCGTTTTAGTCTTGTTTGTACTATTACGCAGGTGTTTTCCTCACTACGACGTTCAAAACCGAATATTTGAAAGCCAACCAATACGAGGGAGCTTCTTTTACTTAAAATGGAGTGTGAGTCTGTAATTCACGTCGATGCCCTAAATGTAAATTTGAGATGACAAACAGCAATAAAAGTAAGTTTCCTTTACCTTAGAGTGTGTCTGGTAGGAAGACAGTAGTTTCCCGTTGATCAAATGACGTCAATCATTTTAGAAGAGAAAATCTTTGTTATGAATAAATACCATATCATTTCCATTCCATTAGGTTCGTAATCAACGCAATGAAGACTTAAAAAGGAAAGAAACAGAGTAACAGACGAATTTAGAAATAAAAAAATAGTCTTGAATTTTAGATTATTAAAATGAGGAACAAATAGAACAGTTTTCATTGTGAACATATTTTATTCAGAACATTTTGCATCCATAGATTTGAAAGCAGTGTCATTTATAATCAAATAAAAAAGATCCTGTTGCATCGTAAAATGTCTTTCTCTATCCAACAAACGTGATCCAATCAAGTTGCTGTTCAATTTTAAGGTCGTTCATCCCGGATTCTCTTATTGTGAGAAACTTACTAATGGCAATGTCTGTGTCCATGTCAAAATTATACATTAAACATTTTGCACTGTAGAAAACTTTAAGGAATCAATATTTTCAAACAGATGATCTTTACTCCTTACCTGCTGAGTTTACTCATCCCCCTCCCCGACTTTTTTTGGTGTTGTTGAATATTTTGTTTTCTATGTATTGTTTTGTGGACTCTAAAAGATGTATTCACACTTTAACCATCTTTATCATTCCATTGTTTCTACGAAAGTCAGATTTATAGCAAAATTATATCATTCAAGAAATGGACTACATATTGAGTACACAATATCGTCTACAAAAATGATTTCCGGATTCGAGAATTGAGAACCACGATTCCTTACTGATGCAACGACAAAATTAATGGTGTAGGTATTTAGTTTAGCCCCAGTTGTATTTATATCAACACATTTTGATTATTCAAAACTTTTGTTCGACGCAATTCTCGGTCATCGAAAATAAACACCACCTGCAAGTCCCACTGTGTCTATGGTTTGTTTGTTATCTTCAATTCTAAAACCCTTAGGAATTCACTATATTCAGACTAGCCTGTTTCCATAACATTATCAAATAACGATTCACAAGAACGAGGAAAAACATGAGATTTAGTATTATAATATTCGCTAATAGATCAGATCACTCGCCAACTTACTTTATTTTACAACTAAAACCTAATAACGTCAGTATTTTGAGGGAATTGTTTAAATTTAACAGTTCTCTGTTGTATGATCAGAATTTGTTTTTAATGTTGAAGATGTCATAAGTAAAACTAAAGAGCAATATACTCTTGTATTTAACAGAGAAAACCTAAATTTAGTAATTCTAGCAATGTTGAGGGGAAACAATATCATATGCTTCATTTAAAAAGAAAGAAACTAAAAAAATAGAATATTTACTTGCTGCAGACATTAACAAATTAGAACAGATTGGAATAAATAAAACAGATCTAAAAAGTTAAGGGGTCAGTATATAAGGTCAACAATTATAAGAGGAAGGAGAGAAACCATCAACATATTTAATGAATTTGAGACAACAAATTGTGTAAATAAAGACAATTCCTATATTAAATCCTGAAATAAAATTGAAAATCAAAAACAAATTCAAAGGGAAAAAATTTCTGCAAAAATTTGTATTCCAAAAAAGAGACAAATAATTCAATTAACTTGAATAATGTTATACCCTATAATGCTATACCCTATAATGCTATACCCTATAGTGATATACCCTATAATGCTATACCCTATAATGATATACCCTATAATGTTATACCCTATAATGATATACCCTATAATGCTATACCCTATAATGTTATACCCTATAATGCTATACCCTATAATGATATACCCTATAATGTTATACCCTATAATGATATACCCTATAATGCTATACCCTATAATGTTATACCCTATAATGCTATACCCTATAATGCTATACCCTATAATGATATACTCTATAATGATATACTCTATAATGTTATTACCTATAATGATATACCCTATAATGTTATACCCTATAATGCTATACTCTATAATCCTATACCCTATATTAATATACCCTATAATGCTATACTCTATAAAGATATACTCTATAATGATATGCCATATAATGTTATACCCTATAATGATATACCCTATAATGCTATACCCTATAATGCTATACCCTATAATGCTATACCCTATAATGCTATACCCTATAATGATATACCCTATAATGATATACCCTATAATGCTATACCCTATAATGATATACCCTATAATGATATACCCTATAATGATATTCCCTGTAATGCTATACTCTATAATGATATACCCTATAATGATATACCCTATAATGTTATACCCTATAATGCTATACCCTATAATGCTATACCCTATAATGATATACTCTATAATGATATACTCTATAATGTTATTACCTATAATGATATACCCTATAATGTTATACCCTATAATGCTATACTCTATAATCCTATACCCTATATTAATATACCCTATAATGCTATACCCTATAATGATATACCCTATAATGCTATACCCTATAATGATATACCCTATATTGATATACCCTATAATGCTATACCCTATAATGATATACCCTATAATGATATACTCTATAATGCTATACCCTATAATGATATACCCTATAATGATATACCCTATAATGCAATACCCTATAATGTTATTACCTATAATGATATATCCTATAATGTTATACCCTATAATATATACCCTATAATGATATACCCTATAATGCTATACCCTATAATGCTATACCCTATAATGATATACCCTATAATGCTATACCCTATAATGCTAAACCCTATAATGCTATATCCTATAATGCTATACCCTATAATGCTATACCCTATAACGATATACCCTATAACGATATACCCTATAATGCTATACTCTATAATGATATACCCTATAGTGATATACCCTATAATGCTATACCCTATAATGATATACCCTATAATGATATACCCTATAATGATATACCCTATAATGATATACCCTGTAATACTATACCCTATAATGATATACCCTATAATGCTATACCCTATAATGATATACCTTATAATGATATACCCTATAATGCTATACCCTATAATGCTATACCCCATAATAATATACCCTATAATGATATACTCTATAATGATATACCCTATAATGATATACCCTATAATGATATACCCTATAATGATATACCCTATAATGATATACCCTATAATGCTATACCCTATAATGATATACCCTATAATGATATACTCTATAATGATATACCCTATAATGATATACCCTATAATGATATACCCTATAATGATATACCCTATAATGTTATACCCTATAACGATATACTCTATAATGCTATACCCTATAATTCTATACCCTATAATGATATACCCTATAATGATATACTCTATAATGATATACCCTATAATGATATACCCTATAATGATAAACTCTATAATGATATACCCTATAATGCTATACCCTTTAATGATATACTCTATAATGCTAACCTATAATAATATACCCTATAATGATATACCCTATAATGCTATACCCCTATAATCCTATACTCTATAAAGATATACTCTATAATGATATGCCATATAATGTTATACCCTATAATGATATTCCCTGTAATGTTATACCCTATAATGCTATACCCTATAATGCTATACCCTATAATGCTATACCCTATAATGCTATACCTTATAATGCTATACTCTATAATGCTATACTCTATAATGATATACCCTATAATGATATACCCTATAATGATATACTCTATAACGATATACCCTATAATGCTATACCCTATAATGATATACCCTATAATGCTATACCCTATAATGCTATACTCTATAATGCTATACCCTATAATGCTATACCCTATAATGCTATACCCTATAATGATATACTCTATAATGCTATACTCTATAATGATATACCCTATAATGCTATACCCTATAATGATATACCCTATAATGATATACCCTATAATGCTATCCCCTATAGTGATATACCCTATAATGCTATACCCTATAATGATATACCCTATAATGCTATACCCTATAATGATATACCCTATAATGCTATACCCTATAAGGCTATACCATGCTATACCCTATAATCCTATACTCTATAAAGATATACTCTATAATGATATGCCATATAATGTTATACCCTATAATGATATTCCCTGTAATGTTATACCCTATAATGCTATACCCTATAATGCTATACCCTATAATGCTATACCCTATGATGCTATACCTTATAATGCTATACTCTATAATGCTATACTCTATAATGATATACCCTACATTGATATACCCTATAATGATATACTCTATAACGATATACCCTATAATGCTATACCCTATAATGCTATACCCCATAATAATATACCCTATAATGATATACTCTATAATGATATACCCTATAATGATATACCCTATAATGATATACCCTATAATGATATACCCTATAATGTTATACCCTATAACGATATACTCTATAATGCTATACCCTATAATTCTATACCCTATAATTCTATACCCTATAATGATATACTCTATAATGCTATACCCTATAATTCTATACCCTATAATGATATACCCTATAATGATATACTCTATAATGATATACCCTATAATGATATACCCTATAATGATAAACTCTATAATGATATACCCTATAATGCTATACCCTTTAATGATATACCCTATAATGATATACCCTATAATGCTATACCCTATAATCCTATACTCTATAAAGATATACTCTATAATGATATGCCATATAATGTTATACCCTATAATGATATACCTTATAATGATATACCCTATAATGCTATACCCTATAATGTTATTACCTATAATGATATATCCTATAATGTTATACCCTATAATATAAACCCTATAATGCTATACCCTATAACGATATACTCTATAATGCTATACCCTATAATGATATACCCTATAATGATATACTCTATAATGCTATACCCTATAATTCTATACCCTATAATGATATACCCTATAATGATATACTCTATAATGCTATACCCTATAATTCTATACCCTATAATGATATACCCTATAATGATATACTCTATAATGATATACCCTATAATGATATACCCTATAATGATAAACTCTATAATGATATACCCTATAATGCTATACCCTATAATGATATACCCTATAATGATATACCCTATAATGCTATACCCTATAATCCTATACTCTATAAAGATATACTCTATAATGATATGCCATATAATGTTATACCCTATAATGATATTCCCTGTAATGTTATACCCTATAATGCTATACCCTATAATGCTATACCCTATAATGCTATACCCTATAATGCT